TGCCATATATGTCTTGTTGTGCATGTCGAGAGTAGTGCAGCAAGCCCGTTGGTAAACATTACCGTTGAGGTTCTGACAGGTTGGACTCTTCACTCGTGCAAAGAGCTGTTCTTCCTTTACGTTTTTTTCCTTTTATTAAAAAAATATAAAATCCAGGAAAAACGGCTGCCAGTTCCGTCGTTTTCGACTTCTGAAGTAATACGAAGAGAACGTTTTGAGAGATCGCGACCCTCATCATGACTGAATCTGGCCTGCAAGAACCCTACCATACAGACTGCAATTACCGTTGAGGTTCTGACAGGTTGGACGTGCCGGGCGACACTCGTGCAAAGAAATTCTGATTTTCTTCCTTTAAAAAAAAAAAAAAAAAAAAAACATTCCAGGAAAAACGGTTGTCAGTTCCGTCGTTTTCTACTTCCAAAGTAATAAGAAGAGAATGTTTTGAGAAATCGCGACCCTCATCATGACTGAATCTGGCCTGCAAAAACCCTACCATACAGACTGCAATACCCTACCACACACAAAGAGTGTTACCCGAACTACAGGTTACTAAAAACTTTCAGGCCAATGCGCGGCCTCCAAAAAAAATTTGGCTGCCCGTTTCATATTTTACGCGAGCAGGGGGCCGGGTCTACTACCGCCCCTCACAACTTTTTTTTTTTTTTTGACCCCCATTTTTTTAGGTGCGCCGCATGCAGTGCGCGCGTGTCGTGCGGGATGCGCGGTGCGGCGCACGTGCGCAGTGCAGCGCATCGCGATGCGCCGCATGTATGATAAAAACATGTTATAGCCACCTCTGCAAGTGTGCCCAACCCTGTCATTAATTCTTTGTCATTAAGAGTCCTCCTTACCCTTTTGGAATTTTCAAACCTGTTGTGGCCAAGTGGGACCGAACCTGTCATTATACCTACCTCTTCATAAGTGAGTGACAGGAATTCTGGCACCCTCTAAAGTGGACTCCTCAGGTTCCCCTCTTCAGGGGGGGCGATGGCCCGATACGTCATGCAGCATAGCGTATCCCTAGAACGGTGAACACTTGTAGAATATGCTTTTTTTTTGGCCTATTTAGTATGTGTGTTTTGTCTTTTTTGGTTTGCTGTTCAAGATTGTGAGTATGTATGTTTTGTTTTGTCTTTTTATGTTTGCTGTACAAGATTGTTAGTGTGTATGTCTTGTCTTTTTTTGTTTGCTGTACAAGAATGTGAGTATGTATACCAGCGTATCATTTAGCTGATGCGCCGGCATCCAATTTTGCTACCCTGTATTTTTTCAAAAGGGGGTAGGTTTTAGCATTGTTGCATGCATCTGAGCTTGCGGGGATTCAAACTCGTGATCTCTTTGCTAACAGTTACTTGTGTATAGTACTGTATACCATTCAGTGGCATGGGGCAGGTATATAATGATTGCCGCCCTGCCGCTGTGTATGGCGCATGTCCTTTATGCCCAAAGAGTGTAGTCTGTCGGAAGCCACCTCTCTCTGAATGCTCCCTTCATGAAACAGATATCCTGACGCTTTGCATCTGGTATAACGACTCTGACAGTCCGAGTCCTTATATAAGTGCTCTTTTACGGTCTCCAAAGTCCATCCTGTCATGGTCCTGATTCTTGTGATGTTTCACTTGGGATGTTTAGAAGCTGTGGGAGGACAATTTTCGGCACACCTTGCAGACTGCTAGCTGGGTCCCCCCATCACCGGCCTGGGTGGACCGGCTGCTAGAGGGACTGAGTAGGGCATGTTAAGCTCGGTTCCAAGGCTAGGACCGTAGGAGTCAAGTAGAGTAGGTGCATGTATGGATGGGAGAGGATGGAGAAGAGGTGGGGGTTGGGAATGGGGAGTGAGGGGGGCGAGGTGTGACATTGCATCACCATCCAAATTTTCACATTGAGAAATAGTGCACGACACCCTGTATCTGACAGATTGGCAATCTTTCAAGACATTCCCTTTTTTGGTTTTTGTGTTCTTCTTTCAAGAGAATTGAAAAAAAAAAAAAACAGTACATTATCAGCTTGAAATCAGGTCCAGTGCCCGTCATGGCCGAGCGATTGTGAGACATTCTGCCCCTTAAAAAAAAAGGGTCCTTATGGGCATGGCTCCATATCCATTCTGGGGACCATCATCCCGGTTCCTAATCTACCAGCTGGTCGGAAAAAGATACATCTTACACGAGCTCTTGACGCTTCCCCATGTCACGGCGTGGGGTCAGTCCTCTCACACCATTGATTGCAGACTTCCTCAATTCTTCCTCCCTCTCAGGGTCCCGTTTTATTTTCATTGAAGTCCTCATCCATACGACTCTGAATTCTGTTTTTTCAAACTCTTTTTCTACCTGTTCTTGAAAGTGCATCCTGAAGTTCCCTTGCTCACACCTGCCCCATTTTTGGATAGCGCTGAATGCATGCACATTTCTGTATGAGTGCATGAGTGCATGTGTGTGTGTGTGTGTGTGGATCGCTGTGAGGATGCATTTCTGTGGTGTATTGTATTAGTAAGAATAAGGTCGTTATATATTTACGGGAACCTTACGAACTTGTGTGTGGTGTGAAAGGCTGTTTCTGTGGCAGAAAGAGTTGCAGAGGAAAGATGTGAACATTCCCCTGGGTCTCCCGAAGCAACTGTTGGCTATCATGTGCGCCTTGATGCTGCCAGGTGAGGTTCCTCATCTGTACATTCCATCTCCTACTCCCCAATGTCAACAATGAAAACTCTCTCTCTCTCTCTCTCTCTCTCTCTCTCTCTCTCTCTCTCTCTCTCTCTCTCTCTCTCTCTCTCTCTCTCTCTCTCTCTCTCTCT